TTGAAAGAATCATCATCCAACTAGCTGTAAGAGTCCTACTGCCCAAACCTAAAGCCAGGAGATCAGTATCAGCAAAAATATTTAGGTGTCTGACTCCCAATGCTTTTAGTGGGACCAGGATTTCAGACTGCTTGCTTTGGCCGTGAAGCAGATGGCAAGAAATGCTCAGTGCCTTGCTAAACTGAATATTATAGATTTCAAGCATGTGACACCCTTCTGAACCTTTCATAGCAAATAAGCTATTGATTCCTTCCCTATTGAGCATAATTAAGTTTCTTTCACATTACCTGAAAAGAAGTGCTTATTCTTAAATGCAGAAAGAAAGGGTTATCAACCTTGTTAGGTGGTCAGTGTGCCAGCCTTCAGCCAAAAAAGCAATTAGGAAAACAATCCTTTCTCCATGTTACATAGGACATTTGGAATCAATTAAATATTCAAATTAATTTCTCTGATCCGAATCCAGTTACGACAGGTGTGAGGCTGCTAGTGGTAGCTAAAGCGGTAAGTAAAAAGTCTAGAGGGAGGTCGTCATTTTCTGTTATGAGAAATAGCAGCACCATTCTGGGACAGATCAAAAATAATAATTCAACTGTGGAGGCCTCCTGGATTGTTTTGGAAGTCAATTACCCTCTAAGTGATTAGTTTGGAAAAAGTTATGTGAAAAAGGGAACAGGCCTCCCATTTTAAAATTATTTGCCTGACTCTTGCAAGTTGTTTATTTTCTTTATAGCCTTAGGTGGAAAGAAATTAAGTGTGCTTGAAGTGGGAATTATCCACATTTTTCAGCAAAAACATAATCACACCACACATTCACAGGGCTCAGGCTCTGAAGCCTGTGAAGCATTCACTTAGTAGGAAGCTTAGGCAAACCAGGCAACTGCTGAAGAAAGAGAGGAGAGTTTAAATATTTCTGGTTTTATTGCATCATGGAAAAACTGATCAGTTATCTCATTAAGATGGAGAATTTTTACTGGAGAACCCCCGCGGGGTTTATAAGCTTGCCTGCTGCGTTGACTGTAGTAACTGAAAGAGCAGCGTTGTCCCTTTGCTTGGGGATAGATGTCAGCCTTTGTGGCAAGGTAAGGAAGGTAAATTGGTGACAGATCCAGAGTATTTTTTTTTTAAATGTACATAAGTCTCCCTTGACTTAAACAGATGTGGTATATAAAAGAAATACATGCAACTGCAATTTAGTTCACTTGCAGAAACCTCAGCTATAATACCTACATGTCTACAGGGAGGACTGGCTTACAGCTACGGCCTGAGACTGAAAATCGAAAGAAAGAAAGAAATTTTTAAAAAAGGAAATTATTTCTTTCTTAAACTCTTGGTCTGTCCATGAGGGAAGTTGGTTACAGGGGCACTTTCAAAAGCATCACAGGCAAAGATGAATAAATTATGCTGAAGCAGTTAAAATATGTTCCCCCTAAGACACATGAAGCCTGTTTCTCTCGACCATTACACAGAGACATTTCCTCCCCTCGGCTGTGCCTGTGGGCTCTCCAGCTCCAAAAGCAGACAGTGGGTATGTCTACCTGGATGGAACTTTAAGCAACCAAGCTCAACACTGAGCTCAAGCCCAACAGATCTGCCTGCAAGCCCGGTGTCTCATCACCTACCAAACCGGTGCAGGCAGCAGGTGACACCCTCGTGCTAACAACCCGCTCTCCTCTCCCCTCAGTCCCTCGGTAAATCTTTGACAGCTCTTCCCGGCAGTCTTTTAAAATAAGGGATTAAATTGCAACTGCACACACAGCTGCCCACACACACTCTCGTACCCTGATTTTAAAATAACCCTTTTAGAGTACAGTTAGTTTGCAGCATTGTTGCCATACAAAATTTGATCATTGAGAAATGGGGCCACTTGGAAGCATTTCTATTCACTGCAAAGTTTGCAAACAGTCAAATTTAATCACTGCTGTGCCCCTCCACATCTCATCTATGGCAGTGAAGAGGCATTTCCCCTGCAAAAAGCAAAAGGGCAGGGGCTATATTCTCAGTAGTTGCTGTGCCTTGGACACATCCCAGCCAGTTTCTGAATCCCCAGGGCACAGGTACAGAGCACTGGTCCAACACTGCTGGTGGACCAAAAATCAAACGCTCAAATTCTAACCATTTATGTAAGATAGCTGAAGGTACATTTTGGCTTTTGAAACAGTTGCTTCATAACATTTATGTTTATCACAGACCTCAACAAAACCTTAACCTCAGCTGTGACTTCCTTGCATAACTGTAATGCTAGTAATGTGATCAGCCTCTGTACCTGCCCATGAAAGCTGCATTTCCATGGGCTTTACATGCTATCCCTCGTCACTGTCTGCCTCTTTCACCCCTCACTTTTTCAAGTTTAATTCTTCATGGGAAATAAATTTAATTTGAGGGTGGCAGGGTTCATATGGTGGCAGTGATGGAGGGAGGCATCTGGAATGTGTCCTGGTTTTGGCTGCATGCTCTCAATATAAATGGTTTATAAAATAGTAACATACAGAGCTTACCACATCTTTCTGGAGGCACTGTAATACTGGGGTGAAGTGTGAAGGTGCTGATCTCCTCTTAGAGCATCCTCTACCAGCTCCAAGAGGAGACATTCAGCAGACAATCCTCAAATCATACACATATATCTAAGCTTACTAAGATCCTGTAGAGCAGAGAGTGGAGTAGAGTGGAGTAGCGTAGTGTAGATAGACTTCCTTTGCCAAAATGCTTGGTTCTAACCTAGTTTGAGTCAGTATTACCAACTGCTTGTTGAAACAAGGGCTCTTCTTTGGTTTTGCACTTATATTTTGCAAGATCTGTTAACCTATGAGGTCCCCAGTTCCTAGATGCTACCAGAATAACAAAGGCATCACGTAAATAAACATTAACAGCAATCTCAAAAGAGTAACCAAAGCTTTCTGGTCCACAGAGGCTAAATAACATTCAGCCTCAGATGCTGAAAAAAGCTTACCGTTTGCCAAGTTCCTAACAATCCATCCTTTCACATTGTTTTCAGGCAATATTCATTCAGGCACATAATATTCCATTAAGAGTACCACATGATCACTCTCCTACTCTGGAATGAGGGCTGTAATTTAGCTATGATTGCAGGAACGTAATCCCTTTCTGACAATGGCTCTTACTTCTGCAATGTTTCAAAAGAAAATAAAACAAAGCACCTGGTAGATGTATGAAGCATTACATGTTACACAGCCATACTACAAAAGTGGTACTTCTTTTTCCGCATCTCTTACTTCAGCACAGATCCACCTTTGCTGTTTTGAAGGCTAGTGCACATCCTATGTTGGTCATTCAGTCTGAAAAATGATATATTCCTCTGCTCTTCAGACAGTTTCAGTGCAGTTCTTTACTACAGTATTTGCAGATTAGCCACCTTCTCCAGTCTCCACCTTTGCATCCAAGGCTTTCTTTGCAAGAGGTATACACATTTCATCAGTGTTCCTTTGGTATTCCTACCGCAGTATGGAAAACACAAACCCGAGTTTGGCTCGGCTCCTCTGTATCTCTTTACAGAGAAGTTCATGTTAATGAACCTTTAATTCTTTAGCTAGCTGTTTAAAGGTGCTGTGTGCAGCTATTTACAAGTACTTAGAATGAAAATGTGAAATGCAACACTGAAGATCAAAGCAGGATCTTCTCTAAGCATGTTACACATCTCCCTCTGGCATTGCTTAGAGAACTTTGTTCAATGCTCAGAGTATGCTTTGACAACACACCTGTCTCTACACCTTGCCTTACAGTGAGCCGTGCAAAGCTCAACATGTTACAAGATCTTAAAAACCTGCTCTCTTTCGTAGCTTGCCTTGTGATTTTCTGGAATGCCACCTTGCACCCCCACCCAAGTCACTCGCCCAGAGCACAGCCTTGCTGGTGAAGGGTAAGGCTAGATCAGGTCCACTCTACTGTGCAAAAGTTGAAATATGCTCAGTCTGAGTAAACAACCACAGAAAGAATCTAAAAAATTTGGTTGGTTGCTACCTGAAGTGCAGAACTGATATGTATTTATAAGTAGGTAACAAGGATCTACTGAATACATCATTTATTGATACTCCTTCCCTTGAGTAATATTAAGATAGATCACGCTAAATCATTCTTCCCTATTTATTCTATGTATCTTAACTGCTAGAATATTTTATTAATGTAGAGCAAAACAAGAAGTCATAAATGTCAATATGAATCCATAAGTTATATGAATTAAAAAAGAATAAATTGGTACAGCTTCACGTAATACCCATGTATTTATTTGGAGCCCATTTTACTTCTACCAGCCCTACATGACAGGCTCCTTAAACCAATACAGCTGAATCTTCTGCTTTGAAACAAGGCTACTGTGTCAGGACTGCTGGTTTCCAATATATCTTCCACAGTGAAAGAATGAATGCCAAGTCTTTTTTTACAAGATTTTTATTAAAGAATATTCAGTAAGCTCTATTAGACAGACTTATCTGATCTCATTACTGAGTAAAAGTGCCATCAGTCAAGCCAAACACACACTGAAAAGCACATTCTCTTCGGTCTAATCTGGGTGAGGTCTTGTGAACTTTGTATGCACACAATTCATGACATGCAAAGCCCCATCAAGACCATAACACATCTGTCAACTATATTTTTAATGAAAGGTGTCTGCATATCAATAGCAAGTTCAGCACACCTGAAAATAAAAATACAGCTTGCACAACCAAGTGTATATACTCTGAATAGCAGCAACATCACTAAAAAATGTTGACTTTGTGCTTCACAGCTAAACTGTATACGGCTCAACAGTTCTGTTCACTGAACCATGGGGCTGACAACAAGTCTCTGAACAGCACTGAGGCCTAAATGATTACAGCATAAGATATTAGTAAAACTGTTTATTCCACTTTTCATTGTGATGGCTCAAAAAAGACAACAATCCTATTATTATTATTATTAGGAACTATTTTCAAAGCCTTTTTACAAAAGTGTTTCACCATCAGTACCTTGCATTGTCCAGCCCAGCTACAAATAGTGGAACATGACAAATATGCACACATATTGCAAAACAGTCTTGTTTAATTTTTATTTGTAAAGCATGAGTTTCCAAGCAGATTTAACCAGAAATTATATTCACACCCTCAAACTCTATTTCAGACTTTTTTTGAATGCCTGTGTCTATTTATTAAACAAAGATTGTCCTTTCTTTCAAAACAGAGTTCCAGCATAAATCACTCCCGTATTTAATACTTATTGAGTAATCTGTATTCCCACAGCACTTACAGTGAGAACTACACTATTGCAAATATGCATTGCAGTTATCTGCATTCTTTTTTGCAGACAGCCCCTGGCACTTATTTCAATAAGCCAACCATCACTTCACTGATATCCCACAACTTTCTTGCAACCAAGTCATCCATGGCTTTGGGCAGGAGTTCTTCCTCTTTGCAGTCCCCAAAATATTTTCCTGACACACCCTCGACATCAGGAGAAGAGGCCAAATAAATAGAAGTCTGGGCTCCTTCCAGAGGTGTTTTGAAGAAAGCCCATGACACCAAGTTGAATAGGGGTTTTGCCAGCAAAGGAATATTCACATACCTGCCTAGATTTGTTCTGACAATCCCAGGATGAAGTGAATTGACGGTGACTCCTGTCCCTTCTAACCGACGGGCTAGCTCCCTTGCAAATAATATGTTAGCCAGTTTACTCCGACTGTAACAAAAGCTTTTATTGTAACTTATTTCACTGTTCAAGTCTTCAAAGTTGATCTCTCCATATTTGTAAAGCTTTGAGGATACTACCACAATCCTGCTCGGAGCAGAATTTTTGAGGAGGCCCAGAAGAAGGTTGGTGAGCAAGAAGTGACCCAAGTGGTTTACACCAAATTGCATCTCGAAACCATCCTCTGTCTTCATGTACGGACACTGGAATATCCCTGCATTATTTATCAGAACATCCAGCCTTGGCTCTTCCTTTAAATAGGAAAGAAAAAAATCATTCACCTTTAGAATTGTCATGCAAAACACACTATTATGCTTAATATTTCTCATTGGCCACTGTTAGAAAGAAATAATTTCATTCCTAGTTTTCTGAACTGTAACTTCCCGATATTCTCTTAAAGCATTGCTGAAAAAAACCCGTAAGTTGAACTACCACTAAACCGAGTACTTGACCCCACTAGGATGCAAGTACCCAAGAGTAGGTCTGTATCTACTTTTAATGCAGGCAGAGAACACAATCATCTGCTAATCCAGGAGCAGCTTTTTCTATAGCAATTCAGTGATAATTTACCTTTGTGATGTGTTTTGTTTTCCTCTAAAAAGTAACATGTTTATTGCACTGCAAAAGCAGACACATTAATTTATGGCAAACCTCAGCCTTCGGCAAGGGATCTACTGTGCAAAAGACAGGCAAACATGGAACAAAAAGTGTTAGCTCAAAGAACTAACCTCAGGGTTGAAAAGAAACCATTACATTGTAGACCCACCATCTCACTGGGGCAGTATCATGAAAAACTTTGCAAAACAATGTTCTCATGATTTTAAACACCGTCTTATTTTAAAATCACTACACATCATTGTGCTGTTTGGTCAGAACTATGAAGCAGAACTCATCATAGAAAAGTAACATTCATGTTTCATACAATTTGCGTCTAACAGGTCTACTCAAGGACTAAGGTGTGTCTACGGGACTGAGGCTTGAAATATGTATGACATGCTCAGGACATGGTATTTGATGGATTGGTATTCTGGTTCAGGTCAGCAGAAAACAAAGACTCAAGAAGGTATGTTACACTCTATAGAATCAGGAAACATAGGTAATTAACAGAAAGGGTGGTATGGATAATCTAAATATATGTATAATAAATACATCATGCACTTCATGCTCCAGCATCCACTCAGGAATTAAGAGCTCTCCAATTTAGCAAAAGCAGTAACTTTTTCAAAAAACAGAGATTAAAGTGAGCTGCATAAATAAGCTCTGAATTCAACACTTTCACCCACCTCTGACAAAAGACTTTGAAAGTATCACAGGAAATTTATGCTTGCATGAATCAGAAGCAAATGTATTCACTTTATAGAAAGAGCAGCATGAGTTTCTTTGCTGCTAATTCTTTAAACCCAACACAGGGACAGCAATGATACAAAGAGAGCAAAACCCAAATCTGCACTGGGCATTCAGTTAATGATGCTGGCATCCGATCACACAAAAGGTCAAGTACTTCAACCTCAGACTGATTTCCATGGGACTTGAGGTTGCTCAGTGTTTCATGTAATTGTGTGCCTGAGGCATGATCCAAAGAGCATCAAACTCACTTCTCCTCTTCACCCAAATGGACATAACGGTTACTATCACTAAACCAGGACAGGACTGAAGAAGTACTGACTGTCAATCTGCTCACTGAAGTGATACTTCTTTCTTCTTTAGAGAAAAACATTGCTTTAGAAACTTTCTGTAGCACCTGACTGGACGATTTTGCAAGACTTAACACTTCAAGAAGCAAGACCTCCACGTGTGCTATTTTCTGAAACTCCTATATTTAATAACCTAGAGTAACGTGATCAATGCCAAGCAGGCAGCTACCACAACCAAGCGCAACAGAGTGCACAAAACATTGCTTTGATGGGCAATGCTGTTCCTTGTAGCTTCTGAGCTCGCTCCCATTTTCTCTATTTTTCTGTGGAACCCTCCAACATGTCTAAGTCTTTTATTTTTTGCAGTGAGACTAAGGAGTGAAAGATGTAATCACCTGCAGTTGTGCAGAGGAAAGGTCCCACAAATTAAGTTAGGCAGTGGGAGCGCATTGTTTCCCCACCTTTCCAATATTTAAGTCTTCTTCATCTCAAACAAAAAAAAAAAACAAACAAAACACAAAAACCCCCAAACAAACTAACCCAACAAAACCCCCAAAAAACAGCTCCAAAAAGGAGTCACACGTTAGAGAAGATAAATAACATGAACTTGGGTGGAACAGCTCTTCAAAGCATTTCTTGAATGTGCATCCCTTGACATTCAGCTGCTTTTGAAATTATTTTGAAAATGAAAGTTAGAACACAGGCGTCAGCAGCACTCTACAGATAGACACACTCTCTTTTTCTTCACTCCTTTCTCACTTAAAGTCACCTGTACTGGCTTTATCAATAAAGAGATGCTTGGACATTTTTGGATATTTTGTACTATAAAAGATACAATTCTTCAAAGTTAGACAGTATGTTTCTTTTCTTGTGTTTATTATGCATATTTTATATCCTTTCGTATATGCATATTTTCCCAGAACACTGAAGCAAGATTAAACCTTATCACGGATTCATACATATGAATGTAGATGACTACAAAGAGCCCCTCTAGAGAACTTAAAACTTGACTTTTTCCAGACATTTAAGTTTTAGAAAAGCTATGTGAAAATTAATGCAATGAAGTCCCTCTCTGTTTTTTTTCCCTCTCACAACAGCATCTGAGCATCTTTCAAGTACTTAACAAGCACTTCTCTGAGCAGCAGCAGAACTTATTAAGCCTGGCTTCCCATGACTTTGTGTCTCATGGCTTGAGTAGCTAGATGTGGCGAGATGAGAGTCCCAAACGATGCTTTTTGTAGGAATGGAATAACGCCTCCAACGGTACCTCCCTCTGCTCTCTGGTGTCTAATAATGCTGCCAGACTCACCTAGTGGCATTTCTGTCAGGTGAATCAGCTGGAAGTCCCTGTTCTCCTTAAAGGCAAGTTTTCAGGACATCTGCAGAAACTTCATATATTCAAAAACGTCTGCCTACTAAACTAGCTAGCACTGACCATTTAAAATGCGGGGGGGGGTGACCAGTGCACTCACGTGAACTTTTATTTCTCTGGAGACAAAACTGAGCTGTAACGCCAATTTAAAGCAAAAAAGGCAGGTAAGGTAGAGTTAATTAGTTAATTAAGAGAAAAAGGATAACAAATCATTTAGCCCATACAGAAACAAGTGCTTCCTTTTCAGAATAGAAAAGGACTAGAATAGTTTGGACTAGAGCAGCCCACACTAGTACGAACTTTACGCTTCCAGGTGCTAACTCGCGGCCCAGTTACCTACGCCCTCCCCCCAAACCCTGCGGTGAGCCCAGCGCCGCGCCGCACCCCCGCACCGGCGGCCCGCGGGGGGGGCAGGCCCTGTGAACAGGGACC